ATATGATATGAAACAATATTGATAAAATGATTAATTTTTAGAATTATCCAAAGTAAATCAATTAATTTATACGATAAAAAAAGATAGGTTCATTCAAATAGTCAGCTCATTTATTTCAAGAACTTTGATTGCCTGGATACATAGTAGGGATTTTATATTTGAACTACTCATGATCCATTAACTAGTCTGATTTAAAGGTGTTCTCATATTTAGGTAATCCGTTGATATTTGAAAATCATGAAATATTTGCGAACAATATTAATTTTTTTTTTAAAAAATTTTTCTAGTATAAATTTTACTCCTTACAACAGTTCTATTGGAAACTAGAGTTGCACTAAGTTGCTAGAAATTTTAGAAGGTTCAGTAAATAACGTAATATCAATAAAAATGATAACATACAGCTATAAAGATTCATAACCTTTATAAATCATTTTTTACATGAAGTTACGAAAAAAATATGTTTAACAATCAGTGAATGTTAAAATTGTATAAACTTTCATAAGTATTAATAATACCTTCTACAATCCAGTGACTGAAGTCTTATTTCAATGATTAAATCTCTGATTTGTTTTATTGTGTATCTATTCAGCACTGTTTATGGTCTTTTGTGTTCGTGAAATTTATCCGTCAATCTACTAGAAGATGTTCCGTCAGTTAAAATGAATTCGAACACATAAGAAAAGCATAATCTTATGCTTTCTCAGAGTGCTCGTGCCCCATTACATCGACTTAGAAATTAGGGACTCCTACAGATATCTACGATTATAAATGCGAAATAAAATTCATCCTCATGTCGTTTCGAACTAAACTTCACTGATTATGGTATGTAACGAAAAGTCTTTATAATAAAGTCAGTTACGTAAATTTAGGTCATTTACAGTTTCTAAGAAGCCTTGAAATGTAATAAGTTCATGTTATTTTGAAAATCTTGTTCTTCTCTTTGTATCTGATCTTATCAAAGGATTGATATGCATAAAATCCATAGTTAATCATGTTCTTAGACATTGTACATGTTGGGAGTTAGATAACACATATACCTCTAATACTGACACAACAGTTTTCTCAGCAACTCAAGGCAGATAGTATTTTCAGGTGACAGGATACTTACGAATTCATGAAAGCCAGGATCTGAAAATGTTTGGTGAGATATTTTCAATCAAAACCAACAAAATGTTGACGAATATTATGGCAGAACCTCTAATAACTAAGCAAAACGTCAGTTCCTTTAATTTTATACAAGTATGGGTAAAAAGTATCTCAACCTTATATTATCTTTATGAATGATTTTAAGGAATCAACAATTACTAGTATTTCTACAACTCAGGAGCAAATCCTCGATAATTACTTAAGAGTTCAGTTCGTTTAAATAGACATGTTGATGTAATCATAAATATAGTGCAACTCAATGAAGAGGGATGACAACAAGTGATTTGTATCACCTATTCTGTACAAATTCTTGTTAACTTATTCTTCTGTATTCACATGATTCCGTATCAGTCGTTGTTCTAGTTTTCATATCAATCGACATTACCCGAAGATGATGGCTTCTAACACTAGGTGATAAGTTAGTGTTAACTTGATAAGTAGCCATTTCATAATAGGAACACATATGAAGCTGTAATTATGTAAAGCAGTTTCATTAAACGGTAAGCATTTACTCTAAGTAGGGATAACACAAACCTACAAAAAAATTATGCTATTGTAAAACTGAAATGATACGAATATGGTCTGACGATAATTAAATGACGTATATTTGTATATTCACTAAAATAATGATGAATGTAACATATAAGTTTATAAGCTTCATGAAAAAGTTCTACTTAAACTGCTTTATTATATAAAGAGATCCAAATAACTATTGATATGATTTGTAGTTTGATATACTGTGGAATCTTATCAACCTGACAAATTAGATAATACACCATATGTATATTCTCTTGTAATCCAGTGTTTCCAAAAACACAAGATTGAAAACAACACAGGTTTTCCATGTTGGTTTAGCTTCAATTGTCTCATGATCTCAACTATTGAAATAACTATAATATCCACAAAACCCCTTCTGATATTCTTCAACATATGCTCACTATTGACTGACTTCAAGAGGTATTTCCTGGAGTTCTAGTGAGAAGCAGTAACCAGTGGAGTTCAACAAGGTCTTTTGTGAGATAATAACTCATTGATAACAATGGTAGATGTGTCGCTCAAATTCGTGGATTAGTTTAAGTTAGATATTAACACTGTTGGATACCGGCTCACTGGTTTAGTGGTTAAGCATTCGTGTGCGCGACTGATAGTTCCTGAGTTCGGATTTTGCGAGGCGGGATTGTGGATGCGCACTGCTGAGGAGTCCCCCAATAGGGCGGGATGGCCGTCCGATGCTTCTAGGTTTTCCATGGTAGTCTAGCCTCATTTATCTCATGATCTCAATTATTGACTTACATTTGTATTTACATACAAATGAAGACATTTAAATATAGTAAACTATCCAAAGTAGTTCTCCACACTCGTCGGTTCGCAAAGCTTTTTATTACTCGATATTTGAATTATTAGAAATGTGTTAACCTGATAAATGATTGGCAAAAGCCATGGGTCGCAATTCACACGACATGTGAATAGCTTACTAACATTACTAATGTAATTGTGAAGAACAACAAGCCAAAAAAATTGGATAAGAAATAAAATGTTGATGATTCCATAATTGAATGACAAAGTCTTCAACGAAATTTAGTTATAACAGTTCGTATCGTTATAAATACAGCTATTGGTTCTATAACTTATCGGCATTTAGCCATTTAGAAATTTAAATAACATTGTAGATAAAGCACATACCGGTTTCAGAACTTTGCGTCAACCTATGATATTCTTCTTCAATAGGTAAACGAACTTCACAATGTTTATTATCAATAATTCAACTGTAGCATTAAGAAAGCTAATGTTAGTTCTTGGTTCAGTAGAAAATCCATTTGAAATGTACAGTAAATTATTCACTCTCTATATTTATTATGGGCTTCACAAATATGTATTGATTAATCTAGATAGTTGGGATATTATCTTTAAGATAGAAATCAATCGTCAATTTCAATAAGTCGGTTTTGCCGACACACAAGCTACTTACCATACTTGAAGTTGTACAGAAAAAAAATCATGTATTATGTAACAAGAATTTGCCAAAAAATTAAATCGCTCTTTATTTGATAGAAGACTAGCAAACAGTGAGATCTTTTCTCATGATAAGGTATATTTAAGGATTGCCTATTAAAAGTTAAACAGTGCTCTTAATTGTTAGATACTTATTTTACTTGGATAATGAGACATAAGTCGATTTGATATTCACAGAGATCGAGCAAAACCGCCGGGATAAACTTATAGCACCTATGATAAAAGGTAAATAACAAATTTATGGATTGAACAAAGCGACGTACAACAGCAAAAAGACACTCAAAAGTTGAGAAATGAGGATCTTGAAAAGCAAAGTCGATAACACTTAAAACATGCGTGAAAACATCTTAACTGACTTTTCTAACTGCGTCATTAGCAGTCAAAATGACTTCCTATTGATGCTTAGCGTGTATTGTTTGAATATTGAGTGTATTTGACAAAAAGAGGTTTCAGAATTTATCATGTTAGCTATGATTTATCAGATACACTGTAATTTATAAATTAAAAATGGTTGGTTGAATGGGATAGGATACCTTATAAAGATCGTGTGAAACAAGAAATTTTGCTGACTATAATGAATATTTTACGATCTAATTTAATTTGTAACTTGGATTAGGGACTTATTTCAGTTAGACTATCATTGAAAACCATACTGAGACGAAACGGCCACCCAGTGTTTCCAGGCTCTCAATGGTGGTCTAACATCGATCGATTCATAATCTCAGTCAAAAACATTCAAATTAATTTTTCTTAATTATCCTTCTTCATTTATTCAAATTAATGAAAGTCCATTTACCAGATAAAACTTTCACTACATTACTTAAAATAGTAAGTGGTTATGTTGTTTGAGTATTGGTTTGGAAAGGAAAAAAAGAACAACAAACTCTAGGTGGAATTACTTGCAACTGATTCTTCACTTTTGGCCCAAGAAAAAAAAATTATTGTAAAACAATTTAAAATAAAGAATGTTATTGGATATTTTCAACTCCTACTAACACCACTACTATTAATACTACTAAGAAAAACTTTTTTTATCAGAAGGGGTTCTGTGGATATTATAGTAATTTTAATAGTTGCGATCATGAAACAAATGAAGCTAGACTACCATGGAAAACCTAGAAGCATCGGACGGCCATCCCGCCCTATTGGGGGACTCCTCAGCAGTGCGCATCCACAATCCCGCCTCGCAAAATCCGAACTCAGGAACTATCAGTCGCGCACACGAATGCTTAACCACTAAACCAGTGAGCCGGTATCCAACAGTGTTAATATCTAACTTCAACTAATCCACGAATTTGAGCGACACATCTACCATTGTTATCAATGAGTTATTATCTCACAAAAGACCTTGTTGAACTCCACTGGTTACTGCTTCTCACTAGAACTCCAGGAAATACCTCTTGAAGTCAGTCACTATTAAAAATATTTTTATTCATTATATTGAAATATAATAGTCATTTGTTTGAATAGAATTTTAAGTGAATAAAATTAGTAGTACTATAACTATTACTAAGATATGAAAATAATTCATGCTTTTTTGTGTTATTATAAATAGGCATATGAACTGGTTAAGTTATGCACATTTATGACCTTTAAATAATAAATCACTCTATCAGGTAAGTTTAATTAGATCCACTACTAGTTTTACCGCTGATTTAAATATTATTATTATTATTATTATTATTATTATTATTAATAGTAGTAGTATTAGTATTCATGAGTAAAATGTTAGAAATTCCAAATATTTCACATTTATCAGTATTCCCCTAGAACAGAATACAGTGAATATTTTGTAATGACCTGATTATTTATGTACTTTTTTTTCTTATTATTGCTTAATTATGAATAAGAAAAACAAATCATCATCATCATCATCATCATCATCATCATCATCATCATCATCATCATCATCATCATCATCATCATCATCATCATCATCATCATCATCATCATCATCATCATCATCATCATCATCATCATCATCATCATCATCATCATCATCATCATCATCATCATCATCATCATCATCATCATCATCATCATCATCATCATCATCATCATCATCATCATCATCATCATCATCATCATCATCATCATCATCATCATCATCATCATCATCATCATCATCATCATCATCATCATCATCATCATCATCATCATCATCATCATCATCATCATCATCATCATCATCATCATCATCATCATCATCATCATCATCATCATCATCATCATCATCATCATCATCATCATCATCATCATCATCATCATCATCATCATCATCATCATCATCATCATCATCATCATCATCATCATCATCATCATCATCATCATCATCATCATCATCATCATCATCATCATCATCATCATCATCATCATCATCATCATCATCATCATCATCATCATCATCATCATCATCATCATCATCATCATCATCATCATCATCATCATCATCATCATCATCATCATCATCATCATCATCATCATCATCATCATCATCATCATCATCATCATCATCATCATCATCATCATCATCATCATCATCATCATCATCATCATCATCATCATCATCATCATCATCATCATCATCATCATCATCATCATCATCATCATCATCATCATCATCATCATCATCATCATCATCATCATCATCATCATCATCATCATCATCATCATCATCATCATCATCATCATCATCATCATCATCATCATCATCATCGTCATCATCAAATCGGTTAAACTCCCATTAGAAAAAACAAATATTTTTGTTGTAAAAAAATATATCAATCATTTGTGAACTTGTTAATGTGATCGTGGTGTAAATCATTCATGAAATGATCATGAATTCTTAGTAATTATTTTTCTATATTACTGTTGTGATGTTTTATTACACTTAAAATGTATAATAAGAAGATTAGTAGAAAGTTAGTTTTACGTGAAGTTTTGTAATGAATTAGTTTTTATGTAATACCATTGATTTTCAATAGTGTTCATTTCTATTCCAAATCACATTTATTGTTTAAATGTAGGGTTGATTTGAAGTTAACTCTATGTGTTTAGATGACCTTTATAATAATTGATCATATATGGGAGTAATATCTTACTTAGATTTGAAGTAAGAACAAATGTAATAAGATGATCATATGATATGATGAATATGGTTTAGACTGTTTTAAATAGATTACCCTATGTTATTCTACGGATTATCAAATCTGTGCTCTTGATCACCTTTAAAAGTATCTAGGCAAAAGTATGATTAAAGTTGTAAATAGCTTGACCATACCTTATGTAATTAAAATGAATTGGTTATGCTCAGTAGATCACTGTATTATTAATAATTTGTCACAAATAATGAAAACCAAGGATTTTTCAAACACCTTTTTGTCTTAGTATTCACTTCATTTCACAATCTCTTACTTAATTCATATAATTTCATACACAAATTGATTTACAAATCATGTTTACATATTTTTGTTCCGAGTATTAGTTTTACAACCTCAAATTCAATGCAAATTAATAACGTCGAATAAATTACATTGACTGATGACTAACGTTAATAGGACAAGTTACTTGCCATCATGGTTCATAAGGTTATTACTCTAGTAGACATTTGACAGAGATAGTTATTGATGTGTGGGCGAGAATAATAATGACTAGTTGTCTGCTTAGTCAGACATGTAGATAGTTTGACAGGTGTCAGATAAGTTATATATTTCCCTATCCTTATTATTATTACTCACTTATTATTGATTGTTCATCGTTGTTTGATTGTGTTGGGCTTTGGTGTGAAAATATATTTACGTTGTGGTCAGGCTAATCACATGTTCTCTTACTCTGAGTTGTGTTGAAGTCCTGTAGAATAAACACTGGGAGGGAATCTAGTGTAGATATTCGTTCAAGGTAAGTTAGCGTCCCATACGTGTAAACGTGTAAACCCAACCATCATAACATTAGACGAAGTAAAACCGAGCGTTATAACAATTGGTGACGGGATGAAAAACAAAGAACCAGTTGATAAGTGAGTAATAGAAAAGAATAATGATTATAAAGGTAAGATGATATTTCATTTACATCATAAATAGAAATCTAATTTAATCTATATTAAGGTGAATCTATTGGTGAATTAAACTTGTGTTGACTATCATTTGTGATAATGATTTTTTAATAGCTATGAAAATTAATAAACATTTAATCTAAGCAAATAGCTTTCCATCCATTCTGTGTAACTTTTGATATTGATAACTAAGCTTATCTTGTGGAATTGACACTGAAAAAAAATTGATGACACGATAAAAGAAGACTTATGTATACAAGACAATAGTCTAGATCGCATATCTAAAAGATAATAATTAGATGAAATATTTCTGTGTATGGCTTGAGTAATGAATTCATATCAAATTGTAAGAAATTATAATAAAAAGGATTCTGATACTTCTCGTCACATTAAAGACTAAACTTTGTTGTATCTTGGTAGACACACTGTCTGGTTAGCAAAAATCCAAGCACTTCAAAGTTCTTTGGTATAAACTTATATGGAGTGGTCATTAATGTTATCATTCAACCCTGTAATACACCAAAAAGCATTGCCTGATCAATTTATAATTTAAATTATTAAATTCAGCTTGTTCACTGTCAAACTTATATGAAATACAAAGCACCCAACCGGCTTTACATAACTCACTAGCGTTACTCATATCACACACATTTTCAATAAACTTTAGTGATGTACAACAACTGAGACATTAATACTTTATCAGAGAGAGTTGGATAAAGCATTGAAAACTTTAGTCGCTTATCTTCCGAATCTAGATTACTGAATTGTCACGATTTCAGGCTTGTAGCAGTGTCACATGAATTCTGTGTTTTCTAAGGCTTTGACTTATTTTTTCTTGTTCTTTCTTGTAACCAAAGAATAGAAAACTATTAAGTACTAATTAGAAAATACAATTGATCGTAATCATAGGAATAACATTGATATACTTTGAACACAGTAAAAAGATGTCTAATTATTTTCATGCAAAATTGGGTTAATGCAATGTGGCACAGGTAATGCAGATAGCTTGTTCTTGGAAACTTTGGCTACCCTATTTGTTCAAACATAATTAATAAATGTTATTCCAGTTTAAACTTTCAATTAACAATATAGGTGACAATGAGAAATACCAATAACACGGACAGTATAATCGAAGTTAGCATTGATTTAAAGGACATTATATATGATAGCATATTCACAGTTAAAATATCCTTAATAAACTGTAGATGAAAATATCAATTTATATTAAAATGAGTCACATTTACTAAAGAGTTTTCATAAATGTTACGTTTGATAGCTGTTCTGAACTCGTGGAATTAACCTGAACAGTAACTGATTTAAGTCTATGAAAACTATATGAGCTGTGTGGAAAAAAAATTAAATAAAGCAAGAACAAATATTGATGCAGAATAGTATGGATTCATAATATTTCGAGGTTTCTCGTCAGCTGCCTACAACCAAATATGTAATAGAATTCTATATCGAGATAAGAAATAGTGTGAAACAATTGGCATAAATGAGTGTAAATGATTGGAATGACAAAGGTTTACAATAATAACTATATAACTATATATATATGCAAGAACAGGTCAGAGGTTATTTGGTGTTAGAATCAAGGAAACAATTCAGGATGGGTGGTGTAGTAGTTGAGTGGAGTTCATAAATTGTGTGATAATTTTAGAGGTAGTGAAGGATTCATGGAATTAAACAGTGATAAGACAGGTTACGTAATAATTGAATAGAGTTCGAAAAGTTAACATAATTTAAGAGGGTAAGTGGGTGGAAATGTGTGAATGTAAAGTTGGTTTAAGAATTCGGTAATGGGGAGGAATATAACAAAAAATAAATACTTTAAAAATAAATAAAGGAATATAATAACACAAATAACCAAAAAACAATAAAAATAAAACAAAGATGGATTACCAGGGTAATAATAAGTTTACTGCTGTCTCTTTTTGAATACATAAATCCGGTCTAAGTTTTTTTATCACGGTCGCTTCAGCGAAACGGAGAGCAGTCGTATTTCTTTGTCTGCTGATAATTTTAAAATCGTGCGGAATGTCGACGGTATGCCCGGTGTCAAGTAAATGCTGAGCTATTGCACTGTTGAGAGCCCTAGTCCCTCGCAGACTTGAGTTTTTTGGAACATGCTCAGAAATGCAAACATGTACTCTTCTCTCAGTTCTTCCAATGTATGTGCTATGGCACGTACATGTGAATTGGTGAATGCAGTTGGAGCTACTGAGAAAAGAGGACTTGTCGAAAAAAGTTGTTAATATTATACAAAACATACTTGACAAATAAAACGAAGTCCGTAAATATAAATGAGACAGCTTAATTAGTAAAACATGTAAAATTTGTTTCTACAAATTAATGGTCACCGTAGTCACCATAGGGAACAACACCTTAATGGTAGATTGTAAAATAGAGATTCCTTCTGAATGTAAAATCTAATATAACTTTAATATCCTGTTCAATAGGAAAACAAATGTTTGATCTTTAGAAACCTTGGATTAATCGTTGATTTAATTTACTAGGAAATATTAAGTCGAATTTTGTTGGTGATATTCACAAAGATGTAAATCTAGTTATCTCAAATTCATTTATGATTGTGATAAAGTTTCAGTTATAATAATGATGAACAGTTAACTGTGATAGATATAAAAATATAACTGATATTCTAACAAGAAAATAATCTTTTATGATATGCTTTACTATTTCTAGTGTATATTTAAGTATGGATAGTAGTTATTATGTTTTGCATGAAACAAGAAAAATACCATCATTATAACACAAGAACACAGTTTATGTATACAGTTCGCTATTTCATTGGGAAGTTTATTGTAGAGCTTCCGAGTTAATATTTTTGGTGGTAGAAGCGTGTAGCGGTAAATAAATCCCCAAAATAAATAGCTCTGTAAGTTTTCGACATTGGATGCTGACCATATGTTTTAGTGGACTCATCTAGCTGAAGGAGCTCGGTCATGCATCCGCACCAGATCACGTATGGTAACGCTGTGCTCAACATCTACCGCAATCGCTAGCCATATTAGATCAGAGAATTGCGATATATTGGTAATCGCCAAATACACTCTTCCGATCTCCTCGACTCTGTCTTTTGATTTCTCTTGGTGGGTACGAATTATATTAGAAGGTGTTGCGGGTAAAAGCGTTGTCAAATACTGAATACCTGTGCCATCTTCAAGCAAAAAGCAGACATTTAAGTGAAGTATGAATATGTTATAACTTCAATTGATTTTAATTGTTTCCACTGTAGTAAACAGAGTTTAGTGGTGATTCAGATAAGGAACAGTTATTTTCAACTAAAAGACTTACGATAGAATAATGTATGATCGCAGTGTAGTAAGATATGATTTCCACGAAAGGAGGATTTAAGCGGTTAGTATTAATTCAAAACGAGAGTATATGAATTTATGCCTATTGTTTTAGATTGAGTTTCAGCGTGAATTGATATAATAACTGAGTTGTAGCTGGTTTTAACTCTATTTATGTCATGAATTCTACAATACTTTCTGACAGATTACTTTTTTAAAATGCTGACCGAATATCTTCTGAGTTAAATGCTAATATCAGTAATGTGTACCTGAGTTAGACATGTACACCATTGGATCTCGACTCAGTGGTCTAGAGGCTAAGGGTTCGAGAGCTAGACCAACGTCTTAGGCTCGATCCGTGGTGAAGGCGTAGTGGATGGAC